AGTGTTGGCACAATAAAGCACCCAGACTAACATGCTGCTTGCTAAACTGCCGACACGACAGGGAAAAAAAAAAAAAAAAGAACAAGTTGTTCTTTCCACAGGGACTTACTGTACTGAAAATTCAGTGTTAAACCCCAAGTCATACAGCGAACCCAGCTACACAGACTTTGTAGTCAGTTACATTTAAACATAACTGAAATATTTTTCAATATCAGACTAAAATATGATTAAAACCTGCATTGTAAAAAAAAAAAAAAACATTTTTACAATAAAAATTGTATTTAATTAATTGCATTTAATTAGTATATAAAAAAAAATGGCAGCTGTGGGTACCAGAACTTACTCTTACCAAATATGATATAACGAACTGCATAAGATAATTATTTAGCAGAGAAGGTGAGAGCTCCCCTAATGGCTGTGTGAGTGTATTTTCACTAGAGCAGATAAAATGGGTGGTGGCCTCATTGCTTGTATACATCTTGGGATAGAATAACAAATCAAATCATTTTGCTCATTTAATATTCAAATTTTTATTAGGCTTAATTTGTAGAAACCTATGGTTAATATACACACTGTGATGGAGGATGGTTTGCCACAGTTATTAGTCTTTATCACATTGTGTTGTTAATTATCCTTCAGGGTTTTATAGGTTGCCTAAGTAAGCTGGTGAGCCAGTTGGCTCTTTGGCTTTAGTACTGTAGAGATATTCCATGGTGTGTAACTCCAAAATAATCCTTTGGTAAGCAGCCATACCAGCGGCACCTCAGAATGCGTAATCCACCTGCAGCTAAGCAGGTTCGGATGGGAGACCACCTAGGAAAGTTGGGTTGCTTCTGGAAGAGGTGTTGGTGTGGCCAACCCATTCTGTGGTCTGTGGGGATCCCAGCACCCCAGTGTTGTGCTGTAAAAATGGTGCTATTCCTTGGATGAGATGTAAAAACCGAGATCCTGACTCTCTGAGGTCATAAAAGATCCTTGGGCATCTTTGGAAAGAGTAGGGGTGGTACCCTGATGCCCAGGCTAAAATTGCCCACTGGGGCCCTGTCAGATCAGGTCTCCCAATCATCCCCAGTATCTAACTGGTGAATTCTCTCCTGCCCATTCACCACCTTAGCTACTGGGTGGTGAGCGTACTGGTGCAGAATGGCTGCTGTCGCATCATCCAGGTGGGGGCGACACAGTGGTGGGTGTTGAAGTGGCTCCCCATTGGTTCTGTAAAGTGCTTTGAGTGTTTGGAAATGGTATATTCATTCATTCAGTCCTGAAAGCTTCTCTTCAATGGTTGGGTTTCGTCATGGTTTGTATTAACAGCTCTTCATGTATTCATCCTGTGGGATGAGGTTACACAGTACACAGAAACACAATACCTACTGCTAGTGAGAGATTCAGTCTGGTTTTTCCTTTCCGTACCTTTCATTTCAACTGTACTACCCACCCATCCTTTATCCCAAGTAAAAACTTCCCCCAATGTCACAGGTGCCCAACGCCAGTCCTGGGGGGCCGGAGCCCTGTGTATCTTAGTTCTTTCCCTGTTCCACCACAAATGATTCAGCTCAAGAGCTGTGTGGGAATTAGCACAAGGAGTTGAATCAGGTGTGTTAAATGAGACCCAAAAATGTGCAGGGCTCCGGCCCCCCAAGACTGTAGTTTGACACCAATGCCCTAAGTCAGGGGTCGGCAACCTGCTGCTGGCGAGCCACGTGCGGCTCTTTGAGCACGAGGCTGCAGCTCTTTGCAGAACGATAGACTCATTCACATTTTCATGTCTTAATATTTTATGATAATACTTTCGTAATTATAAATAATTTATTTATGGGTTAATATTATTATTTTTCATTTAGATGTTTCTTTAGCTATATGTGAATGAGGCGGTCCGTCTCGCGCTTCTGTGATTTGTTAACTGCATAATTTACATCTTCCTCAAATTCATTCTCTACGTCGAGATTACGTTTCTGGTTAAATGGTATGTTTTCCGGAGTTTTCTTCAGTGTCCGAAATTGGATGTAGGCTTATTAAGTTTATTTGGATTCTTAATTCTTTCATATACTTTTCGTAGTAAATCGTCACCACGCCTTCCCAGATCTTCGTAAGATTATTACATTTTCTCCGATTTACATATTATAGCCAGCTGAGTTCGGAGTGGTGAGGACATTTTGCACCGCTCGGTCAGCACAGTTACAAGCAGTGAAGTGGAGAGTGAAGGGAGGACAACTACAGAGCCAAACGGACTTTACTCAGAGAGAAGGGGTGAGGGTGAAGTAATTTAAAACTGAAAACCCCCCTCCCCGCCCCGAAATTGTTTTTCTTTATTTTTTGTAAGTAGGCTACTTTCTGTTAAATGCATATATACCGATATCGCGTTACAAATCGTATCTCAAACCCTCTTCTACATCCATAGCGGCTCTTTGTAAATCTTGTGACAGACATTTGCGATAAAATGGATCTTTGCTTTAAAAAGATTACCGATCTCTGCCCCTGGCGTGCACCTATATAGGCTACAAAAAGTTCGATTCTTTATATTTGAAAGAATATTTTATTCAAAAATCGTACACTACTGACAGTATTGAACATATGGAGATGAGAGAGACTTAAGAAACAGTCTAGAGAGGGGGAATCAATCTAAATATAAAATTATTGGTCAAAGGTTATTATACAATAATAAAGGCACAGGGCTACTAATAATGATTCCATATTAATAAACAGAATTTTACCGATGCAGAGATGTTAGAAACGATGGATCCCGAGTTCATCCTAAATTATATCCGGTGTTAAATCGGGGCAACATGGCATCCTCAAGTTTTATACCAGTAAACCGATGCGAATCGATTAATCTTACCATCCCTACTGTAAACTGTTATATGCCCCTCTGTCTACCTGCCTCCACCGCTTCTGGATGCATGCAGTATGGAATTGTGTGTTCTGCAATTTCTGGGAAGGAGCACAGCAGCCCGGATAGCGGTCCTGCGCATGTAGTTAATTATGAAGGCAGAGATCCTGTGGCGACGCTTGGGGGCAGCAAACGACGACTGTCCCGTGGGTGTCCATCTGAACAACTTATAGGAAGATGCGTCTGCGATTGTTAAAAACCTATACGGGCGCCAATTAACGGTAATAACATTTTTAATCAACAACTCATTTCTTAATGTGAAGGTAAGTTTATGTAAGACTTAGGTCTACTATATGTTATACTATATGTTATAAGGGGCGTCTGCGGGGTACGCCCCCTCCCCTCACACGCACACAGACACTCACACCGACATGCCTATTGTGACAGGATTTGCCGAACTTGTCAGTGTAGATTAGCGGAATGACGTTACATTATTTTTTTATTTTGTGGAAAACGAAAGATCGATCTGCTCTCCAGATTTAATCACGAATTATAAGAATGTCGCGGGCCGGTACGGACCTCATAAGTCTAAGTGGTGAACAAGCCGATCCCTCTACCTCACTACGGAAAATGGCTGATCGTCCAGATCTCAGTAGTTGTATTTAGCTCTGGCGCTGTTCACTTTTAAAACTGATGATGCTTAAAAATCGACCTGCAATATCTGTATGTTAACCGATACATCGTCCATCTCAAACTTGTTTGTTCCATCTTCATAAAGACAACATGTAAAGCAACATAACCAGGAATAAATTGCTCGAGAATCGTGAGACCAAATCGTCATCTCGATTTTGAGTGAAAAACAAATCGTGATTTTTATTTTACCTAGAATCGTGCAGTCCTACGTTACGTTTCTGCAGACATAACGAGGCAAAAAACGTTAGTCAAAAAGTCTAAATGACTAGGGGTACACACTGCGTACAGGCCGGCGTACAGCCGCAAACGCCAATGTTATAGATAGAAAAAAACTAATAAGGAAATTAGAGCATTGTTTATTTTCCACATTAGTTTTAGTCGTTATGAAATCCGGAACGTTGCGAAATAGTAACATGTTGTCTCAGAGGTCTTGGGAGTGGAGGAATGCAAAATCAAATGCAGGAAAAACAAATCTCGAAAATTGTAGTGTGGTTTTAATATATGGCTTATTTTGTAGTTTAGAATAGAAACGGGCTAAATAAACGTTACTGTACATTTTTGCAAAACTCTAAATAACGCGTGGAATCCAAATAACCAAAACGAGCTGTTTTTCAGTAGCAACCAATGTATCACGAACACAGCTGCAGTTTCCCCGCTTCTCAGCCGCCCGATTATTATTTACCTAATATACTTTTTAGCGCTGCATTAATCACAGGCAACACTATCACCCAACCAACAGTCTGCAAATGAAATTTCTAGGGCTGAGGCCAAGCTTGTGCGATGGCTGTTATTATACAGCGGTGTGGGCTCGCCGCGCTCTGATTGGCCGCCCGAAGCAGCTTTCAGATACAAACTGCTCCGCCAGCGCGGCTCCGGAGTTGCGTGCGTGTGTTTGGGGGGCTGGAGCCTCATCGCTGTTTACTAGTGCAGAGGAGATGGGCTTCAATAGTAAGTGCTACGATTTTTTAATGCAATCGGCGCCGCTCTACTTTCTTGGCCGGATCCAAAGTTGGCACCGGTAAGGCGACGCTTGCGTTGCAGTAAAACCGAAGTTGGTTCTCCTCCAAGTTCACAGCCTCCAGTGGGCTGGCTGAGGGTTCAAGAGTCTTCACGCTTTGTTTGCCACAGATGCCTTTTGCTGCCTTTTGATTACGGCGTACTGTTTTTTTTCCTCGTAAGATCGACTAACAGGAATTAACGCTTTAGCGGTAAGTGATGGGCTCCCGGCTGAGCAGGCAGGACAGCCTAAACGGCGAGGTACATTTTTCCAAGAACAGACCCCAGCGACACGGCAGCTGCGGGGAAGCCGTGGTGGCTGCCAACCGCGGCGGCGGGAACTTCTCGCTTTCATCCCTGATCAGAAGGTCCGACAAGCTGCCGAGGATGCTGCGGAAGACAACGCAATGTCCCTATATGAGAAGAGTGGCTTGGATCCGGGAGATACAGACACTTCTCCGGGTGAACAAGGTGGAGCAGGCGGGCGATATACTCAGATTACTTAGAAAGGTAAAAAAGGAAAATATCTTGTTTATGACGTAGGTGATGCTCTGGAAACCACTCCTATTTCGCCGATAATTTGTACATGTGTAGAATATGCGAAGCGGCAAAACGTAATTTGCTAGTTAAGCCATGCTTCATTGTATGTTAATGTATTTAAAATTGTGTATTTGTACACAACTAATGCATGAATATTTGTGACAAGGTTTTTTAAAAATATTTTTTTAATGTCCATTTTCTCTTGATTAATAGGACTGATGGGTGCACCCACCCCTCGTGGGCAGCCTGTAATAGCATCGATGGAAGTCCAGTAACCACAGGTTGTTCCTAAAGTAGTGCAGTATTGCGGGGAAAGTTAGCTGGAGCGTGGGCTGGACCCATCTATTCAAAAAAATATGCCGGAGTCTTTAGATCCGTGTCTCTTGTGGCGAAAATTCCCTATTTTTTTAATTAATATCACCACACGTGCATTTATGGTCTCCCATTTTTTTTTTTTAGAATTTAGAGGTCATTGTCAACACACCACAGCACACAGTGTGCAACAATGAAATGTGACCTCTGCATTTGACCCATATGTGACTTTTGTGACTAGCAGGGGGCAGCTAATTCAGCGCCCGGGGAGCAGTGCTTGGGGACGGTACCTTGCTCAGGGTACTTCAGTGGTGACTTGCTGGAGGGGGATTCGAACCTGCAATCTTTCAATTACAAGTGCGCTACCCTAACCATCAAGCCACCACTGTCCTTTTTAATAAAAAGATAGAACTGAAATGTAGCGAAAAGTAATCCACAGAATCAACAAAAAGGGGAGTGGGATCGCGGGGGGCTCAGTAACCCCGCTGCATTTCCCCAGATGTTAGTGCTGAACACCAAGCAGGTTTAGTCAACCCACCCATTTATGTGGAAACCAGGAAGGTCTGCTGCTGCTTCAGATAGCGCATATTCTCACCACCCCGAGCGAAATGTTGTGACGTGGGCGTTTAAATCAGCCTGACCAGTGTGTGTGTTTGTGTGGAGGGGGGGGTCTTTGAATTAAATGCCACACAAGCAACTGCCAGATTGCCTGAGAAGGGGTTATGCTAATGTGCCCCCCCCTCCCCGCTGACTTGTACAGCTGCAGGGTTTCCGAGGGAGAGCGTGTTGGACAGAATAATACACTGCTATGGGGATTCCTGCATATTGAATTTTAATTACTCCTGTAGCATTTATGCAAATCGGGCCAAGCACTGCGGTGCACGTTATATTAAACAGGGCTGCACTGGCTCTCGTAGGTGTGGTGGGTTTGGTGCTGGGTCAGTCGCATCCATATTGTTTGGAACGGCGTCGTTTTCATTTCGTTTGGTCCATAGCTGTAACTCTGCTCCTTTCCCAGGAGGATGTTCATTGCATTACGCTGGTAAAGATTCTCCCCATGAATTTGTTGTCCTGCTTTGAACTTGGAAGGAAGTGTCTTGCCTCATATCTAGATGCCTTCTATGGCCTTTAGCTTTTAGGTGTTGAATTTTGTGCCCCCGCCCTCAGTAATCTGCCCTCTCAGGTCATGTCTATTAAGGGAACCTTTGCTGGTTTGCTCCACTTCGGTCAGAATTTGTATATCTGCAAAACCATTTTTTAGACGCTGTTATTGTCAAGCTCCTGATTTCCTTAATATATTTTCAGCTTCAGCACAGTCAGCTTTGGTACAAAACAGATTGATGTGGTTATTTGTGAGTTTTATAAATCAGCAGTTATCTTTATTGGCTGAGAGACGGAGAGGGACACAGACCAGCTTACAATGTTCATCTAATGGTTCCCCCTGGAATATTACGACACAATTTTCTTTCCAAATCTAAGCAGCTTAAATTATGTACATAAATATAAAATTATGCTGATTGTCTTGATTGTCTTTGCTTGTCTTGTACGACACCCCAAAGAAATTTCTTGTATGTTAAAGTACTTCGCAATAAATAAACAATTCTGACTCTGATTCTTTGGTGTCTAAATCATATACCTACCATTTAATTATTAAACTACAGTCGGCCCTTCCACATCACGGGGGTTAGAGGCCCAGCCCCCTGCATTCTGGCAAAACCACATAAAATATCCCTTTGGCGAGCAAAGAGAAGTGAAAACCAGCACTGTACATATATTTTATACTGTGCATATATTTTACACCTTTATGAGTTACTAAACTTTGTGTGTCATCTGCCGGTTTTGCAAAACTCCCAAAAAGTCCCCAAAAACTCCCACTTAATTTCTTATGCCAAACCCGAGACATATCGAAATCGCGATGGGGAAGGATCAACTACACTGACCAAGACATTTAAAAGACGTTTAATTTTAGCAAAGTCCTTGCAAAATAGATGGGGCCTTTCAAATGCCTTGAGGTGTTTGGTTTACTCCAGTGCTGCGATGTTGGCCCCAGGTGATGTGAAATCCACATCATCTTCTAAGCCTAATGAAGTGAGAAGCAAACACCTTCAATCCTGGATCATTATTCTTCTGATTTTTTTTGAATGCATGTCTGGTTTCCTTTTGATGTAAACCATAGGTCAAAAGAAGGGCCCTCGCAGAACCTTGTGCTGTTGTCAGCCCCTTAACTCATAGTCTCCGTCTTTATATACTTTACACTCCCAAAAAAAACCATCCTTATCCCTGCCAGAGGTGGGTAGCTCAGGTCCAGAGGGTAAAAGTCCAGACCAGGATTTTGTTAAAACCAACCAGTTGTGTACTCCGTGACGGTGACTCTCTATACTCCATTAGTGTTGTGAAACAAAATCTTAGTCTGGACTTTGACTCTCTGCACCCGAATAACTCACGTCTGATTCCTGCTGTTTTACATTTAAAACTGATTTGGCATTTCATAAATCTCTTACTTGCAACTCTAACTCGATGAGCCTCTTGTTCTTGTATGAAAAATTTCAGATTGTCCTGGGGGAGTGTGAAAGTAGGGTCTTGCTATTGCCTTATGTGGAGTTTATCAAAGCCAGTTGAATAACGGGGCCTTGCAGACTGAGTATCGGCACTTGGCCGGGCTTAATGTGGAGTTTGATTTGTGTGGGACTGAGTTTAATAGGGAGCACATTCTACATAATGGCAGCAGTAATGGACACAGAAAATGTTTTGGTGTTAGCAGGAAGGTGTGATAGCCTGGCAATAACACTGTCTGGTCTGTTTGCAATTTTCACCAATCACCAGGCTACAGGCTGGAATTAAACCAAATCTGAGGCATCTGTTGGAGACGGAGGTAGATTCGGAGGTCTGTTGGACCAAAATGCAGGATCAGTCTGGCATCTTCAATTTTTAGCCTGCAAGATTTAAAGTTTTATAGGGGGAAGGCAAGCAGTTTTCCGTATATGTAACAGCTGCTAATTGCATGTAAATTTGACCTGATAGGTTCATGTTGCCCGGAGATGTGATTTGATCATAAATAACACCATTTCCCTCCTGGGTTAGGGAGTATCACAGTCAAATAACTAGGATTCCCTGGTTTGAAGTGGGAGACGAGAACCTGGATACTACTGGTTAAGATTCAGTTTCAGACTAGCAATCTGTCACCTCACACAGGGAAGGCTTCCCAGAATGCAACTCTGTTGAATTAGAAGGTATCAAAGATATTTTTCATAGCCTTCAGTGAGGATGATCCTGCTCCGTGTTTGGCTGTGGAGGATGCAGCCGGGTGATTGGGTGGTTGACTAGGGCTGGTTTCCAGATGGCTGTTAGCTGCAGTCAGTGAGTGTAAATGCTGTCAGGTTTTGCCCCCCCCCCCAACTCCCTCCCTCAGCCTGCTCCATGTTCTGTATGCCTGAATAACCCTGCGTGTGAATCTTGCTCTCTGGATGCTGTCCCTGTAGATTTTGAAGCCTCGGGGGGGGGGGTGCTGCCATAATGATGACTTGCCGGTTGTCTTTGACGTCTGTCACCCCCCTCCCCTCCCTCAGTGGACATGGGAGGGTTTTATTCTTACCCAAAAGGTCTTTAAAGCACCTTGTCTTCTGAAGGTTCTAACCCGACTGAAGCTCCACCCTCCTGTGGCCCCCTCGAGACCCCCAGCTGCCCCCCTCCCCCCTTCAGTTAATGTATGTAATATATCGTTCAGCTGTGCTCAGATCACACGGAGTGCTGTACTCAGAAGGGAGCTGGGTGGGTGGATGGGCGGCAGTACTGGGGGGCTGGCAAACTATACTCGAGCATTCTTGTGTGTTTTTTTTCTCCACTCACAGATCATAGCTGCCTGTATGAAACGGCAGTGGTATAAATGTTTTGCTGTTGGATAATTGCTTGGTGCTGGTCATGGCTACCAGCACGTCCAAAGATTGTTTGGGCGTGCAGTATAAATCGGTCTTAAATATAAGGATTTTTGTTCTTGGTTCTGTCAGAATCGTGGGTGAACTGCACATCACACCCCAGCAATCCATAAAGGTCTCATGCAGAAAAGTGTGTCTCTGCATCCATCTTCTTGTCACTTGTCCTGGACAAGGTTGTGGAGCATCTGGAGCCAGTCTCAGGGAGCGTAGGACCCGAGGATGGGGGTACTAAGTAACTGGTGATGAAGAAGGGCTGGTTAGATGTTTCTGTTTAATGTTCGGGTTGCATTTGCTGCGATCTTAACGGCTTGATATGTGATATGCATCTCTGTTGGAAGAGGTTGACATGGCTATGGTTGGGGTGTTGACCTAGTGTTTGTTCTTAAAGGTACAGTGCTGACACAGTTCACTGATTATGAAGTTTTGTCTCTTGTGGAATGAATGGATACACACCCCTCCCCCTCCACTATAACATAGACTGAATACAGGAGATGTCTTTCTGTTTTGATCTATGTCTGCTTTGTTCCACCTGTCTTGTAGGACATGGGTCTGGAGGGCACCTCCCTCACCGACATCCTGTACAAGAACGCCGCATTCCTGAACCTGGTGGACCCCATCTCCCATGAGCTCCTGCTCAGCCTGGCTCGTGACATGCAGTGCCCTAAAATGGTGAGTTCCTTCTCGGCCTGCCCCTGAGACGCCCTGGAGAAGATGCTACAGCCACTGATGCTCATGAATGACTCATTTTTCCTGCTGTGACTCTTCCAGTGCCAGTGTTGCTGTGGTCCGATTGTTCTTGTTCCAACGAATCTTTTGGGGCTCAAGTTAATAATACGCAGTTAATATTCTGGATTTTGGTTTTACGTAGGTTTAGGCTTAGTATTTGTTACAGAAAAGTGTTCTTCTCCTTTTCTCCTTCTTAGCCCAGAACAGCTGCCTTGTCGCTCTGCTGTGTATCCTGATACTGTAAAAACATCAAGCTCATTTTGTCGCTTCAGTGTGTCTTGTATCTGTAAGCGCATATTGCCCGGGGGGAGAGGTTCTTGTTTCTTGTTTGTGGGGAAAGGCGTCACAGAGGAGTTGTAAATGGAACAGGGCATGGGTGTTCAGCCAGTTAACTCTCTATAAAAATCCACAGTGTGAAAAGATGTATCTCAAAGTAATACGTAGATGGAAATGTGAAGAAAGAGCCACCACCAATGGCTAATAGTTACCATTTTCTTGCAGCTGAATTGATGTATGCTGGTTTTACCTCTATTTCCTTTGGGTTCTCTCTCTCTCTCTCTTTCTCTCTCCCTGTATCCTCGGTAATTAGATTACTCCTTCTCTGCTCAATTCAATCCGTTTAAAGACTTGCGGGCCGGAGTGGGGGAGGGAGATGTGAATGTTTGCTCCGGGAGTCGCTCAAGGTGAGCGTGTTCGGTGAGCGAGGGGAAGGGCTGCTCGCATGTTACTGGTGGCACTGGTCAGAAGGCCAGTGGCAGGAGGTCTATGCTCTGGGTCGGTCCTCTATTCAACCTACTCTGTATGAATGTAGACTACCTCCCAACAAAACGTGCTGACATCCAGTCAACTGCACCCCTTTTGGAATTAAGGCGACGCACATGAAGACAGATTGTTCTGGAACTAAGGTTCCCTTGTTGGTGCTGAAATTTTATATGAGAATCTCAACTTGATTTAGAAAGTCAGTCATGTGGTTCCGGGGAGGGGGATTACAAAATCTAATTCCACTAGTCCCACCTGCTCTTGGGCCTTTAAGGCTGATTAAAGTGAGACACTCTGACAATATTACTTGTCACCCATGTCGCCTCAGTACTTGTTAAGTGTTCTTGTATCTGTTCACAGCGATGCGCATTTTGCCAAAAGGGAGAAAAAAGGGAATTTGGAATACTTGAGATTTTTAATATATTATATTACATTTTTATTTGTGACTTTATTGGTTTTTATTTTTAGGGGGCTCTGTTATATAAAACTCCGGTATGATGTAAAAAGTTCTCTCTACCCCTTCCAACAGCTGCACCATATGACCAACACTAACACCCCTGTGAGGCACCATCACGACTTCTGAGTGCCGTGCTAAAATTAGCATGTGTGCCTCTTTAGTACAGATTACAACCTGGAACCCGGTTCCGTGTTTGTCGCATGTCGACCAAGGACAATAAGCCCTTCCGACATTCTTGTTTTGGTGCAGGATGCTGAGCCAATGAAGTCTTCTGAGAAAATATGCAGACAGCTGATTTACCATCTGACCCCGCACTCCAAATGGGCCAGGCAGGGCACATTGCGGAAGAAACCCCAGACTTGGTAAGGTTTCTGTAGAACCCCCTTCAGCACCAGGACAGGCGAAGGCTCTGTGTCCTGCTCACATTGATGTATTGTTGTGATTGATGTATTGTCGTGATTGATGTATTGTTGTGATTGATGTATTGTCGTGATTGATGTATTGTTGTGATTGATGTATTGTTGTGATTGATGTATTGTTGTGATTGATGTATTGTTGCTGGGGGCTGTATTGGAAAGGGGGTCATTAAACTTCAGTTCAAGTGACAAAGGGAAGAACTGTCATGGTTCTCTTGGATAACTCCTTCTACGTGATTGGCATGGTGCCTCAGTGGACAGCACTGTCGATTTCACACCTCCAGGATGAGGGTTTCATCTTTCACCCGTCTCTGTGTTACGTGCGTTTCCCCATGCAGCCCAGAGACATACAGTTAAGCTCCACCCTACAATTGGCACCCTTAGTCCATTGGCCGCTTTACTGTCCTGTCTGGCAGGGTAATCATGACACAGTGAGACCAATCGGCTGTCTTGTTGTGGTTGAGCCAGCCCAGCTGATTGGCCTTTATTTGTTGACAGTGTTTGTTAAAGGAAGCAGTAGGTTTGTCATGGTACCCGGGTACATACTGGTATCATGTTACTATTCTGGTGTTTGTACAGCTGTCATTCTGCCCATTAGCCCCATGCAATGGGATCAGGTTCCAGATTTATGGATGACTTCAGTTTAGGTACAGTGCGAAGTGAGTGTTCTGGAGAAGCTGCATCCTAGCAACTTGAGGGCTGGCTGTTTAGCCCCGCCCCCTCCAAATGTCACATGCCTCATGGGCGTGGCCTCTGATTGACATGCACGTGCCAGTGAGAGAAATGCAGGGGCAACAGGAGTTGGTCTTCTAAGTAGTTCTAAATTTAAATCTGTCCATCAGAAGGTGCTTAATCCTGATTTGTGACGACGTTTGTGATGGAAGGGGGAATAATCCAGATTACGGTTTAAGAATAGGGCTTTCATTTGCGTGACTGCTTATCTTGGCATTAAGCCCTGAAATGTTTCTACTTAAATGACCTAACAGCAGTGTTTGAATTCAGGTAAAAATGCCTTTTAATATTTCCCTCTTTGTCTCCTGGCTCAAATCAAGTTGCGATGCAGTTAGCCCAGTGTTTAGTACCCTAAGCACAGCAAATAAAGCACAGTAGCTTTCTGTGAACAGTTTTGAAAACAGTGCTCAATACTGAACAGCAGGTGGTGCAGTGACAAAGGGCCTGCTCCTTAAGGTTACTATGATACACTCCAGTAAAACATCCAGCTGCTTAAATCACTGTCATTCCCATTGTAGTGTAATGGCCAAACCATTAAGGGGCACAAAGCCAAACCAAACACTGGTAATGATGGTGACTAGCAGCATGAATTGCCCTGATGGGAGAGCCTTGCAGTACAGTTATGTTGTGAATCTGTGCTGCTAGGCCTGTCTGGTGGATGGTCCAGGGGGGCAAAACCCAGCCAAGAAGAGAAAGGGAGCCGGTCGGTATCAGGGGCTGGACAGCGACACACGCTGTGATGCTTCTTTTTTTTTGCTGAGTCCCCCTGATTGGCTAATTTTTATAATATTTTTTTTTTGTTCATCGCCTTAACGCAGTGTGCAGCTCCTTACTCATGGCAGGGAAGCGGGAGGTGTGACTCGGCATGTGGCTGGCTGACCCCCCCACGGCCTTGCTGCTGCCTCGCTAACCTGACACGCTCTGCGGCCTCTCAGCCAGCTTCTGACTGCTTATCGAATTCAGCCGGACGGGGCGACAGGCGGGGGGGGGGGGGGGGGGTTCGGCTTAAATGTCATGCTGGACTCCAGCTGCCCCCTCCCCCGTTCGTCTCCCTCCGTCTGCTCTGAGGGATCTGAGCTCAGCTCCCTGTCTGCCCCCCCTCCTCCACCCCC